TCCTCTAATCAAAGGAACACGCGCTAAAAAGGTGAATGCTCTTCCTACTGACGGAGACATCTCATATAACAGCCGCACAACTCGAGAAGAACTATAGTAGAAAAACAGATATTATTATCAAACCATCCTTGGTCAGGTCATGTAACTCGCCACTGTGCAGCTGCAAATTCACTCCCGGGGAAAATAGTATCGATTTCTAAAGTTCCGGGTAGAATAATTAATCAATTTGAGAAAAAAATGTGGTTATTTTTTTGCTTTGACACAGTAATTGTTTGCATTTATTCGTTAAATATATATATATATATATATATAAACAACCTTAAAGAATGAATCATTTTGCCTTATTTTGTAGTTGGCCACTGACATCACGTCCGGCTGTGTTACACAATGTTTATCCTACGGGCAGTGCTTGCACCACGCTGGATGGGTTTGTAGCTCCAGGTAGGATATATAACATCTTTCTTAAACTATTCAATTGCATAAACGTAAATATCTGTGTTTAGCGATACCGGTAATGGTATTTCGTAGTTGGAATTGTTTCCGACACCACTCATCATTGCCACACGCTTTACTTTTTAGTTTACTATTTGTTTATGTTGATGGATGGGTTAGGGTTAGGGTTAGGATGGATGAAGGTGCACTGTTAAGAAAAATGTATGCGTGTGTCAGTTTTTTTTATTTATTTATTTTGGCAGTCTTCAACCATGACTAAAGAGAAAGCTGCTGTCACAGGTTCACGCCCTAAAAGAAAGAAGGTAGATAGTCCTGACCCAAAAGCTAACAAACAAAGAAAGAAGGATAAACTAGAGGTAACTTATACTTATTGTTAACAATAACTTGGAGTAGTATCTAACATGGATATGATCTTGTTTCATATTTTCTTCGGCAGGTCCCCTCAGTGATCACTGATACAGCATGTGAAGTAAATCAAGCACAAAAGAAGGGCAAGAAGCATAAAAAGAAAAAGATAGAGCAAATTAAAGTAAGCGATATGTATTTGACTCAATATATTATTTAGAAATGGGCACTCCCACATGTTAATCCATGTCGGTTTATCAGTCTGTCTGACACTGTAGTGTGCATCTTTGCTCATAGCCAAGGATCTGTAGCCTAATGGATTCTGACATCTCTGAAATGTGCTTCGCATCAGTGGGTAGTTCCACCAGAGTGTACTGCCATTGGTATTCCTCCTTATAATAGGGTCATGCTGCACCTGGGCCATCATAAAAGGTAGCACAGTCAGAAGACCAATAGAAGATACTGTAGGCACTTGAGATAACTAGAAAAGCACTCAGAGAGCACAGACCTCTGCCAAGGACTTCCCCCATTTTTTATATAAATTGCGATAAAATCAGTCTTCTGGATCAGATCCGGATCAGCCTTTGGAATATGAAAGAGGATCCCATTGTCCATCCCTGAGTCAAATTTCATGGGGTGTGGTCAATAATTAACCGAGATATTGAGAAACAAAATTTTTTGCCCCATTTACCACAATGTTAACTAAAATTTCAAAGTGATCCAGAATCCAGGATTTCTTCCGGATCACCCCCAAAATGAAGTCAGTTCTTCCTTTTCACATTTCCAACAAATCCTGAAAATTTCATCAAAATCGGTCGATAACTTTTTGAGTTATGTTGCTAACAAACAAACAAACAAACAGACAGACAAACGCCGGCAAAAACATAACCTCCTTGGCGGAGGTAATAATCTCTTGATGATTTTCTTGTGTGTTTTGGAGGAGCCAGTTCTAACTCGATTCTAACCCCCCCATTGACTGTCATGTCCACAGTGCCGTTTTTAGCATAATTTGCTGGTGTTTATAGTTTCCAGATTTGTTACCTCTGTTTCCATTAGAGACATGACATTGCTTGAAACTGGTATAGGTATAGTTTATCCGTAGCTAATGGAATAAATTCTAGTTGTCCACAGGTTGTGTTGGTTATGATTGTGAACAAATGTTGTAGATTTGCACACTAAACATAATGACACTGGAGTATTTACAGACTTAAGACATAAAGTGGACACAATCTTCATCATTTAGCATATGTTTATTTTTATGTATTTACAATAATTTTATTATCTTAAAGTCAGATTAATGTAGTTGTATGTATTTGTGAAATTCTCTGTAACTCACAGAGGTAAAGAGGACTCATCTTAAAATTGGAAGGTTCTATCCCAGCTCAGATCATTGCATACTGTGGCTGTGACATGAGTTAACATACAGATCACAAAGATCTTTGGTGCAAAATGGCAACCATTTCTTTGTCAGTCATGCCCAAGGCAGCATTAACAATTACAATCCGTAGTTTAGCCCAACAGAAGAAGTCAGGTTTCCAGAAAGGACACATCATTTAGCTCAACAGTCCTGTGGTAACTATACAATAAGATTACTACTACAAAATATTTAAAGATTTCTTAGTTAAGTAACGTAATATTTTTATCTTCAACAGTTGAGCCCTTTGTCCCTTTTTCCATTAATTTGCAAAGAATTATTATACTTCAAAACAAATTCCAAAGAAGATGAAGGAGGCTTCATCCCCTCAAAAATTCCCATCCAACTGATGGGGCTTAAATGTACCCCTGTTCTTCATGGTTCGATGTCTTGCAGTGTGTCAGAGATCTCTATCGTTGGTGCTATGATGTTGCGGTTGGTTTGTGCTTGTCCCGGCCTCTTGCAACAGTCCTGCATTTGTCTTATCACGGCTTTTAGTGTTTCTCGACACGGCCTGTGAAGCAGCAACACCAGGACCAAACTGAAGCTACTCCCTGAGAAAAACACAAATTCAAACACATTCAAAAAAGCCTCCTCTTTGGGGCTCAATTCATTCTCTTTCTGTAACAGTGCAGCTCTCATCAGCACTACACTGTAAAATAATCCACAAATGAATAATATTAAAGAAACCGTAACAAAAACTGGACCCTCCTCGGATCCAGATAGGAAACGCCCTCTAGTTTTCCATTGCCTCACACAACCTGCAATGAGGAGCGCCATCTGAATAATATATGGCACTAATATGGCTAAGAGGAGTTTAGCCACTGCATATGGAAGACAAACTGGATCCATAAAACATCTGTCTTCTTGTCTTGGTCCACCAATTCCAGCCAGCATTAAGGATATCAGTACAGAGGACAGGAGGACTAGAGCTGCGCAGACTCCTGGCTTTCTCAGTAAGGCATTTGATGGTGGATCCATGCTAAGAACATATGCCAGGAGCACAAGGACTAGTAGACTGCTGGTGAATACTGTGTTTATTGTGAAGGAGAGGGCAGCACATCCTAACCCTGTGGTTCTCAGGTAGTGCGGTCTATGAGCCACTGCATACAGAGACAGCAGCAGTAACAGTAACTGTAAAACACAGAAGGCCCAAAGCAGACAGTCCAGCCAGGCCACTCTTCTCTGAGCTCTGAACGCCAGGACGAAGCCATAGACAAGGAAACAAGCCGCGACAAAACCAAGTGCAGACAGGAAACTATAAACATAATTGGCTCTGGAGGTGATATCATTGGCAGTTATTTTGTCCAAAAAATCTGCATCTGGTCCAAAGGCGGAGGTGGAAGTGGAGTTGTCTATAAAAGTGTAGTTGGAGACTGGAGTGGTGTTCCCGTCAGTTGGCCGTGGGCTACTGTGTAGAAATGACTAGAAATAAAGCAAAGAATATAGTTACCAGACAAAATATAACTTTGCAATAAGTAAATTGTATAAACACTTTGCTCTTTTTTTCCTGTGGCACTAAATGTAGGATGGGCAACATATTTTGGGGATAAGTAGTAAGTGTAATCTGGTTTTGTTTTTGTCAGTTTATTCACACCAGTCAAAATATTTGTAGGTATTTTGTTGCCTTAGCAATAGAAGCAGTAATAGCAAGCACCTCAACAGTGGTATAGAAATTATAATTGTCATAGTTGTTTTGACTGATCAGTTTTTACAAACCACTTTCCACACACACTAGGTCTTAGCCAAAAGACAGAGAGGCGATCAAACAACCCACTTTTCAAATCACTTTACTGGTAGCAATATTTTTGTCACCCCTTGTTGAAATTCTGATATAGATACTTGTTCTGTATAATGAGGAAGAGAAGTTCAACGTCAAAGTTCAAAGACTTTCTCTGGAGCATGCGCTTACAAAATAATTTCTTTTGTTGGAATTTTTCCTCCTTAAACTTCACTTTTTGTTTTTGTTATGGATTCTAAGCATTTATCATATACCTAACATTGGCATCTTGGGGTCACATCTGGTTGTCTTTTGAGAAACTGCCTACTCGGTAAAATAAGTTTCCACTTACCATTTTCTGCTCGAGCCTCTTGTGGACACAGGCTTGACTTCTGAGTTACCGCAATAATGCTTCTGTATTTCTAAGACTCAAAATAACTATACGTGATGCTTAGACCTCCTTTTTCAGTACATTTGTGTCTTGCATTTTGGTGAGTATACTTTCAGTGGGCATACTTTCAGAATGACTTTTAGGACACGTGATCTGACTCTTATCCCTCCCACTTTTTCATCACTCCACACAGAGCCGTTAAATAAGAACATACTGTGTCCCTTGTTTCACTTCCCTTGAGAACATAAATAGTAAATGGCCGTAACTGTACTGCTCACTTACATTTTTGCTGTTTATGCCTCAAGGCTAGCTCTAGAGACACACTATATCCATGGAAATATCTCATTTAAAAGTTGTAGAGAAGTAGTGTTAGATTTTGTTACCTTCTTTATGTCAGCATTCAGATAAAAATGAATGAATGAAATTATGAGGCACTGAAAGGATCTCATGAATAGATGTTTACCACACACACACACCAGTAAATTCAAGAAGTAAACAGAGGAAACCTTTATTTAGAAGCGTAAAGCTACAGGAAGTGATCTAACCCAAAAATGCATTGGTCTTCTGCATGATAATATAAAATGTGATTTGCTTGTAAATGTTTTAGCACAAATATCAAACCAAGAAATAAATCCTTTTGTATAGAACGCATGATAACAATATGAACAGGAAGGTCTGCTAAAGTAGATAACTGGCTTCATGTTGGTTTGACAGATTTCTGATCCACCCACTTGTCCAGAGATTGTGCATGAGGGAGAGGAGGATTTGAGCCCAGAGGAGAAGAGAGCCCTAGAGAGGAAAATTAAGAAGATTCTTAAGAAAGAGGAGAAAAAGAGGCTGAAGGAGCAGGGGGAGACACAGCCCAAAACAGAAGCAGGTGGTCTCACTGCTTCTCAACTGGCTCTAGAATATCTCACATGGTAAGAGAGTACATACCTACATATAAACCAATAGTTTTATTTTTGTCCAGAACTACCCTGATTAGTTGCTCAAACTTTATAAAGCATTGTCACCAAACAGAAGAATTAATTATCTCAAAGAACAGTAGAAATAGTAGAATACATGAATAAACAATGCAATTCATGTAATAAGCACATTGTTGTTTCTTTATGCAGCTGGGCTGAAAACAGGGGGGAGTGGAAGTTTCAGAAGACTAGACAAACATGGTTACTGCAGCACATGTTTGACTCTGAAAAGGTAAAAGGGATTTTCACAGCTGAGGTTTCCTGCATGACGTGGGTTATTATGATGAATCTTTATTTTTATCCCTTGGGCAGTATAAAGATATTGCTAAAGGTAAAAAGATAAAAAGATATTGCTTTTAAAATGTTTGGTTTTATTTGTGTTGTATTCAGTTGAAAGTAAATATTTTACAGCATCCACATAATCCAACATCCTTAAAATACAATGTATGTTCTGTTAGATTTCAGATGACAAGTTCTCTGTGCTGCTGCATTACTTAGAGGGGCTTCAAGGGGCAGCAAAGGACACCACGGTTCAAAAGGCCTTAGCTGTTATTCAACATTCTGGAGAAGCACGAGAAACAGACGTCCAGCAGAGGGCGCATCGAGCCAGAGAAGTCATCCAGTTATTATCCTAATCCACACGGTAGCATATGTAGTAATTTCTTAGCCACTGCTTTGTGTTTCCGTTATGTATGACAGCTGCTCCTAATGGACAAAATGCAGATATGTAGAGACAGTTCCTCAGCATCCGAAGGGATATTCTTCATTTATGAATATTAGTGCCTCTTGTTGGGACAACAACAGAACAGTTTCAAAATTTAATTTTTTTTATTTTTGTAATAAATTGTGATTAATCACAATTTATTTTTGTAATAAATTGTGATTAATCACTTAGAACCCCACATGCTTTGACATTTATTTACAACATAAAATAGCCATTATTATATGTATAAAATAATTTAACATCCCACAAAGAAAATACAATAATTTTAATTCATGATCTCATATAATTGCACTTCAGTAATCAGTAATCCCCCATTCAAAACAGAAATAAACATTTTAGGGTATTTGGTCCTTAATGCCTCCTATTTTTAAACCATTTTTATTGTTACCTTTTACTTATTATTTTAAATTGCCATTTTCCATCCATGTCTCAATAGCAAAATAGTAGTATACAGTAGTATGAATGAGTTACATAGGTAACTGAATAAATCCTGGCTGACCACCAGAGGTGTCTCAAGGGATGAAACCGATATTTTGGAATAAAACCAACATTCTTTCACCATTATAAAATATTCAAACCATTGAAATGAGCTGCTCATGTTGGAAGTAGTCCAGTAGTCAATAAGAAATGTTGATACTGACATGGCATTTATTATTGTTACAGGTCGGCAGTGCCTGTGTCTCCTCTTAGATGTTCATCTTTTTCGGTTTCACTTGATTGATGATTTATCGCAACTGGAAGTTTAGAAATATTACAATTTTACACAAATATCTATCTCAAGAATGTCTGTTTAAAGGGCTATAACTTACTTTGTTGTGGATCAAAAGGAATATTGTGTTGGGTGAGGAGAGCTTGCAATCTTTGAATATTCTCCCTTAGTTTTTCAAGCTCCTTAAAGTATGTGTTATGTACAATAGGTTGGGTAAAATGCTGTAATATAAATATAAATGTAAAAATAAGTAAAAACAAACATACCTCTGTACATTTTTGTAAAGAGTTCTGAGTGTCCAGACTGGATACAGCTTTGGTTGTCTCCAAATTCACTTTGTGACTTTTCAAAAGGCCTGCATCTTCAAAAATATCTCTTAACAAATTGTTGTATCCCTGCAGGCCACATAGTTAAAATTATTATCTTTATGGTATTGGAAAATTTAATATTCTGATTATTATTTTTTTGTCACCTGGTCAGTTATAAGTTCCTCATAGTGAGCTTGTTCGGCTTCATCCCATTCTTTTTGTAGCGCCTCAGTCAAAGTTGGATACACTTAAAATGGACCATTAAAACATTTTCATTTTATAAATGTAGTAACTGTTGTTAATTCTTCAGACTTACCTAAAAGAGCATGTGGGTGACAAACAAGTGGTGTCTCAAAAGTTAAAGAATATACACAAGTGCTTGGCTCTGAAACCTGAGCCAACTTGCTACTTGAACTACAGACAAGAATCACCTTGAAGAAAGGTAGGATTTTAATCAAAATAAAACAGAAAACATTAATTTATACAGTTAAGTATGACAAACACCTTTGTTTCTCTGTTTCTTGTCCCACATGCATCACCTTCTCTCATCCACATTCCTCTAAATGTGTTATTTTCTATTTCCCACTCCTGCCAGATCCTGGAAGAAACAACATGCATATTAATAACAAAGCTACAACATTTTGAATCACAGGTGTTTTTTTAGGGGTTTTTTTTTGGGGGGGGGGGTGTCATCATACCCCAGTATCCCACTGTAGGCATTCCATCTGAAAGTCTGCTCGTGCTGTGTGATATTGTGAAACGGACAAAACTCATATTTGTACCTGCAGACATCAATTACATCCCGTTAGGCTCATACAAACACTGTCTGTCCACAAAACTGAAATTGTATTCTTACGTTGACTCCAAGAGAGTGAAGCATTTTCCAGCCAGCTGATGAAGATGATGAGGACCTAAGAAATATATCAATGTTAAAGGGTGTAGCAGTCATAGTGTAATGTAATGTAATAGGAGGCACTACTACACACCAGACACTGGAGAAGGAGACACCCTTGGCTGAAGTCTGTTTGCCTGAGCCATAAAGGGGTTGTTCAAACTACATACAGAAGCAACTGGTTAGTCTCTTGATAAAGCGTCCAGCACATATTACATACATATTACTTAACATACCCGAAAGTGTTTGGCTCTTCGACGATTTTCATTTTACCCGCAAATCCATAGCTTACTGTAAAATCAAGACAGCTGGATCAGTGAATTTCATCAACTGCGCATACATTTTCGGAAAGGATACATACAGAGGAGAAATAGACCGAGTAACCACTGCGCTAATAAACAATGTGTTCTTTTGCTAAACCTCATTACTATCTTTTTAGCAATGTAATGTTATAAACGAGAGTTCCTCTTGTGCACTGTTGCCCATAGTACCATGTGATCTGTCACCTGACCAAAATACCTCCTGCGCATGCGTGTTTTGAATTTAGCAGCATGCTTGTTTCTCTGCTATAGATGGTCAAAGCATTTAGCAATTTTTAAATATATTCATAACTGCATTCTATCGCTTAGATACTTAGAGTGGCTACATTTATCTGTGTATACTCTCTGCTGTAAACTGGGCTCATTGTGAGTACATTTTACCAAGTAGATCGTTAGCTAGTAAGCTAGTGTGTTACAGTGACAAGCGTATTAGTCGTTTTTATAATAGGTAAATCTGAAGGGTATTATGGGACGAAAGAAACAGGGTAAATTTCTGCGACCAGACAAGGGTAAAGAGAAAAGACATAAAATGAAGGGAAAATCGTTGGAGACTTTCACAGAAGAAATGCACTCTGCTTTTGAAGGTAATCTTCCATAAACATTTGGAATAGTTGATATGTTTTTAGTTACCTTGTTGTACAGGTATGTAAATGCAATTTAGTTATAATCTGGTACAGAAATGCATTTCTCTCTTAACTCTTTGCATACTTAGCTATACTATTTATTATTTAACCCTCATGCTCTCCTCGGGGTCACATTGTTCCCGAAGATTTTTTTCCCCTTCCCGTCTCTTGGGGTGGGTCAATCAGACCCAAAAATGTATTTTCAAATAAATTCTCGCCAGGCGGGAAAATAAATTCTTCGGGTCAATGTGACCCCAAGGAGAGCGTGAGGGTTAATTAATTAGGATATATACTGGTGAATTTTAGGTAACAAGTAAAGATTAGTACATTTAGGTCATAATACCCATGTTGTAACAGTGCAGTTTTCCAAACAGCAAGTCTTCGGTTGGATGAAGGAGCAGAAGCCCCTGAAGTGAAGCTGCCTTGTCCCCTCGCCATGTGGGAGCTGGGTCACTGTGACCCTAAGCGTTGTACTGGCAGAAAACTGGTTCGCAAAGGTTTTGTCCTCAACCTTCGGCTCAATCAGAGATTTAATGGACTCATCCTCAGCCCAGTGGGTGTCAAATATGTGACTCCAGCTGACAGGTCAGTGATGTGCTATGAAAAATCTTTTTTTAACTTTATCCATTTAAAACCAGTTTGTTTACACAGAGAAATTGTGGCTCAAAATGGGTTAGCAGTAATTGACTGCTCTTGGGCCAAACTGGAAGAGACACCATTTAATAAAATGAATGGAACACATCCAAGATTATTACCATATCTTGTAGCTGCAAATCCTGTCAACTATGGTAAACCCTGTAAACTGTCCTGCGTTGAGGCTTTTGCAGCCACATTTTTCATTGTAGGTATGACATTTATTCTCCCTTTTAAATATTTTTTGCTCTGTAATGATTCTACAAATGGCACTATGTATTTTTGCAGGGTTTGAAGAATTGGCTATCCTTTTACTAAAGAAATTTAAGTGGGGGATAGGCTTTCTAGAACTAAATAAAGATCTGCTTCAGCGCTATGCCGCCTGTCAAACGGAGGAGGAGCTGCTGACAGTAGAAAAAGACTTTCTCACATATAAACCTAAGCAGGAGGAGTTTGGTAAAATAGAATTGTGAGGTCTTACTGCGAGAGAGATGATTCTGTTCACAATAATGTGTTTTGTTTACAGATCCATTTGATGTCAACTCAGGTATAGAATGTGGAAATCTGAATAGACAACAGTGGTGAGTTTACTTGTATGAGATATAACTACCAAAATATTTTTAGGGTGTTGAATAATATACTTGAGGTGTGATGCTGTATTTGTTGTATATTTAGCACACCTATTGAAGATGACTCGAGTGAGGAAGACACATCAGATGATGATCAAGAGGAGGCAGGGGATAAACCATCAAACGAGGACACTGAATGATCATGAAAGTATAGAAGAAAGTAAATGAAAAGATTGTGCAGTATTTTAAACAAAAAATATTTTTAGGTTTGTACTATAAACAACTAAAAATATATACACTTGTAATTTAATTGTTTATTGAACATTGTTGATTGTTGCGTAAAAGCAGAGGCCCTATATCTTGCATTAAGAATGACACGTGGGCTGTAAAACAAAGAAAACAACTATCCAAAGGATCGCACAAAGGATACATTTTCATAATCTAAATATTATTTTATTGAATGATATTTAAATTTTATATGATAGAATGTGTAGACAGGAATCCTCAAGATAATGCAGTGATTGAGTTATTCAGTTTGGTCATATCTATTAATAGATCTTATCAGATGTGGCAATGTAACAATTGGATTGTCTGCGTGTTATTTATAATAAAGAATATGTTTTGTAAATTATAACCAAATACAGCTATATTAAAGGAAAATTTACAGCCTATATTATGTTTCAATGGTGTCTAATGACTTCATTAGAAATACTTAATTACGCCTCAGATATGTCACAATGGAAATTCAGAATATACAGTAATAAGCAGAAAGGATGCAGTGGCTGCTTTTACTATGGCAAAATTTTAGGCTTTCCAAATAGAAATAATGTGATTACACTAATAGTTAACTGACCACTTAGTTGCACCAAATAGTAGTAACAATGACTGGCCAGCTACGTGAAAAACGTCCTAATGTTTTATAGCTACTCGTCATAGTTGTAGAGTAGGTAGTTAAGTGTGAGGGGCGGACTCAGCGGGGCTCTGCTGCTGACTGCTGTCCTGCGGTAACATTGTTGTGGAACGACGTCACAGCTCGAAAATGAAGGCACGGAGGCAGCCATTACTGGAGCTTCTCTAATTATTTTATTCCAAATAAATACTAGTGGACAATTCTCATGGCAAGAGCCACAAGTCAGCTGGTAAGGGATTAAACTTATAAATAAATTCCACTACGAAGCCGGTGTACTGAATAAGCGATGTGATGGCTGTTTGACAACAAATAGTTAGGTCGGGCCTTCCTTATGAGAGCGGTGCTAGCTGCAATATACCGTTTAATATTACGACTCACTAGTAGAAGTAGCTTGCTCAAATGTGCTAACACACAATATTATGAGTGTGATTTGACTTTATTCACTGAAAATAGTTACATTTGACTGTCCCTGTTAAAGGCAAAATAACAATGTGACACATTTATTATGATAGAGGTGTTGTATCCTTCCCCCTCGCTCTGTAGTTTGGTTAGTGCTCCATGTTGGCTAACGAAAGCTAACAGGTTCGCGCTTTCGAATGATTTTCCGTGTAGCATTAGCATTAGCTCCAGGGCGACCCACCGATTAAGTTCTGTCACTGTTGTTCTTTAACATCAGTCAGTACGACTACGATCATACTAACCATCGAGTTTCTCTTTTATTTATATCACAGTGACAAATTTCTTTCCAGTAAAATAATGCTGTGAAGGTGACATACGGCTCGAAAGGGTTAGCAGTATCCATTGGCTAATGCTAAGGGATTCAATGTTAGCGTTAAGTTTATAACTCGGTTGGTGAGGGCCTGGTTTATTTAACAAGGCACCAGTATCTTAAGCTAATATGGGTTAGTTGTTGGAAAGAAACTTTATGCTGATCTAAAACTAAACCGAGGTCACAGTAGTTATGTGAACTTTACCTAATATAACTGGCTCAATTCAAGAATCGTTCATACGTGGACTTAGTGGCAACAATTAAGTCAAGTCTCAAGAAGGGAACTAAAGGACCACACCTTACTTTTGAAATAGAAAACTTGACGTTTCTTAGTTAGTTGCTTTGTGTACATCATAGTTACTGCTAGTTCTTCTCACTTGCTCATATAGTCCATACATATCTATATTGTTCTTCCGTACCACAGATGACATTTATACGAGGCCTAAAAACTAAAATCAAGTCAAATTTGTGTGTATTTTGTACATATGTGGCAAATATTTACGACATGATAACAAAGTTTTCATATGAGTGTACACATAGGCGGTTTCTCAACATGGGAGGGTGGGACAACCAGGCAGAAACAGCGGCTTCTTCAATGCAGCATGCCTGTTCTTATCACTCCAGACTTTGATCTTGCTTTTACTTAAAGAAAATAAAGCCATTTTAAAAGGCATGTTAGTTGCTTTTTGTACTTTACTCGAAGTTAGGAAAAATGTTTTATCACTCAAATAATAAAATCATTTTTTGAATTTACACTAAATTTTATGTTTACTCCCTCTCTTCTTTCAGTATGATGTTGTGCCCATTCAGTCGAGTGTTGTCATCTGTTCCTGCTCGCATCCATCAATGGTAAGAACCAACTCTGACTCCTGCTCGCCACTTGCTATCCCAGGCGCCAGCAGTAACCACTGTCCCAGCATGGAGGGCCCATCTTCAGAGGCCTGTGCTGTAGGAGCATCTGCCAGCATCCAGGCCTCAGACCTTCCACCTGTCCAAGCCCCTCAGCCACGCAAGAAGAAACCAGAGGACTTCAAATTTGGCAAGATACTTGGAGAGGGCTCATTCTCTACTGTACGTATCAAACATTCCACATTTAATCTGAATTTAACTGAAGAATATGTTGCTACTTGTTAGCATTCTTTTGATTAATGAAATTGGATGAGTCATTTATGCTTGGTAGTTGGAATGATTGGGTCTCTTTAAGTCATGAACCATGAATTCTTTACCTTGTCAGGTTGTTCTCGCAAGGGAGCTAGCGACAGGCAAGGAATATGCAAGTAAGTAGCTTCTTACCTTTTTGTGATGTTTTTTTTTCTTGACCTAACACTAATAATTTCTTGGTTTTCAGTTAAGATATTAGAAAAGCACCATATTATGAAGGAGAAGAAGGCTCAGTATGTGAAGAGAGAAAGGGACTTGATGTCAGATCTAGATCATCCATTCTTTGTCAAGCTTTACTTCACATTTCAAGATGATGAGAAATTATGTATCCTTTAACATGTGGTTTGTAAATGTTTTGTTTTGTAATTTATAGTTTTTTTTATGTATGCCGGCTGCTCCCTGGCTCGAATCTTGCTCAGTCTAATGCTGTATTTTCCACATTCTGTTAAAAGTCACAGTACTTGGTTACAACGAGGAAGTAGTCTCCATTATATCAAAGAGGTACAAGAAAGGCTTCAAATAGAATTATTGATAAAAAACTTTTCTTTAACCAGACTGTTCATAGATTTTGGTCTCAGCTATGCGAAAAATGGAGAGCTCTTAAAGTACATCCGCAAAATTGGCTCATTTGACGAGACATGTACTAGGTTCTACTCTGCTGAAATTGTTTCTGCTCTAGAATATTTACACAAAAAAGACATAATACACAGGTAAGATCCAGGCCCATTGTTTTATTTTTTTGTTGTTTTGTTTTTTTGTATTTCATTTGTCCTAAATAATAACAATTATTATTTCAGAGACCTGAAACCAGAAAATATTCTTTTAAGCGAAGACATGCACATCCAGATTACAGATTTTGGGACAGCAAAGCGCTATGACAGTAAACAAGGTACAAAAGTTTGAGCACAATTATATAACATTTTATTTTATTTCATGCTTCCACTCAATTGTTTTGCAGCAAGAGCAAACTCTTTTGTTGGAACAGCACAGTATGTGTCTCCAGAACTATTAACAGAAAAATCTGCCTGCAAAAGGTAAGTTTTTGCAATTAAAAAAAAAAAAAAAAAAACATAAAAATAAATTCAAGTTGTTTTTGTTTTTTATTTTTAGCTCTGACCTTTGGGCCTTGGGATGTATTATCTATCAGTTGGTGGCTGGTTTACCACCATTTAGAGCTGGGTAAGGAAGGAGTTGCCTAACATTTGTTTATCTACATACATTTTGTACTAAGCTTTTGACATGCATTTTCCTGTCTGTATTGTAGAAATGAGTATCTAATATTTCAGAAGATAATAAAGTTGGAATATGAATTCCCAGAGAAGTTCTTCCCCAAAGCCAAGGATCTTGTTGAAAAGCTTTTGGTATGTTGTATTTGTGTTTGTATTGTAAGCGAAAACAAACATGTAGTGCAGTCTTTTAATGTTTTTAATAATTTGATGCGCAGTCACTGGACCCTTCTAAGCGACTTGGTTGTGAAGAGATGGGAGGGTATGATCCTTTAAGGCAGCATCCTTTTTTTGACTCGATCTCCTGGAGTGATCTACATCTACAGACTCCACCCAAGCTCACACCGTATCTACCAGCCATGTCAGAGGATGATGAGGACTGCTATGGAAACGTGAGACGGAAACCTTTACTTTTAAAAACAATTTTTTTTTTTATCAAGTTTTTTGACCATACAGTTAATTTTTGTGTTTTTCACATTTCATGTTTGTCCCTAGTATGATGACCTCCTGAGCCAGTTCAGCAACATGCAGGTGGCTCCCTCCAGTTCGTCACAGTCCCTGTCGCCGCATGATTCTATATCACCGCACAGGTCCAGCAGTAACATTGAACAGTACATCCACGACCTGGACAACAACTCTTTTGAGCTGGATCTGCAGTTCACTGAAGAGGAAAAGCAGCTACTGCTGGACAAACAAACTACTGGAAATCCTTGGTAACACTTGTAAACTTTTTAAATATAATTATATACTTAAGAAATATAATATCGGTTAATTTCTAAATCCTGTTATGAATTTTCCTTTAAATTAAATGTATTTTGTTTTCGCAGGCACCAGTTTGTTGAGAATAATCTGATACTGAAAATGGGCCCTGTTGATAAACGAAAGGTCTGTGCATATTACCACATTATTCTAATCCCAATTCCCTTCATAGCAAGTCTATGGTGATTACCTGCTGTCCTGTTCCACAGCACCCCCTGTTGGTGATTAAGCATGTGTCTTCTTGTTGCAGGGTCTGTTTGCTCGACGGAGACAGCTGCTGCTTACAGAAGGACCACACCTGTACTATGTGGATCCTGTCAACAAGGTTCTAAAAGGGGAGATTCCTTGGTCCCTTGAGCTTCGTCCTGAGGCTAAGAACTTCAAAACCTTCTTTGTTCACACGGTATATTATTGTTTTGAAGTCTGTCCATATTTACTTTGACCAGCTTGTTGATACATGCCCATCATTTGTGTGTTTTGTGTAATTTTGCTCTTGTGTATTACCTTTCTGTTATAGCCTAACCGAACATATTATTTGATGGACCCCAGTGGAAACGCTGACAGGTGGTGCAAGAAGATCCAAGAAGTGTGGAGAAAAATCTATCAAAGGCACCAAAACCCAGGGCTATAGGAGCAGCATTTCTTCTATGGCCAAACCTCTTTATCTGAACGGCCAATCACTGAGCAGAGTAACACCTTCTTTAGTGCCCTTCATCACCGCAATGTAAACAAACTCTAAAAGAGACGCTGGCATCAAGACCATGTTTGTTTTCCTGAGCAGAACCATGGGGAAAATACAACTTTGGATTCAGGGTTGCTTTGCTTGTTCTTTGTGCTCCATGTGAGGCTTCTATTACATTTTCCATGTATGGATGATGATAAGACTGCCTCCATGCACACCCCCTTTTTCTACTTTTTGCAAGAGAAATCAGAAGGACAAGCTTGTCTGTTTAGAGGCACAAGCTTGGGTACTGCTAGGACTATCTTAAATAACAAGGACTGGTTAACTGCTTATATTAACATGTAAATCTAGCTGCTATGTACCAGAGCCCATCCCACTATCTAAATTACACCATATCCTACATGTTTAGATCTAGTCAGGATAATTCAGACCTATTGATGCAAATGCTTTTTTGCTTACATTTTCATTTAGAGCTTATTTTAATATTTAGGCATTACATTGCAGTTCAGTTCAGGTAACACTGCAGAAGACATGGGTCAGAATTGGTGTGAATGTGAGCCATCATAGCGATTAGTAGAGATGCTATGGGCCAGCAAATCGGCCACAAACTGATCATTTCTAACCATAACTCGCTTATCTTTCCTGCATGGTCAGTTTTGTAGCACTATGTACCTGCTCATTTCTCACAGGGCACTGCAGATGTAGTTTATTTAAGTTTAAAGGTGGCTATTTTTGAATCACCTGGTATATTATTTTGTGATGATAATTGTTTAGTTTGTTATTTTTTCCTATTCCATTTCTTGTTGGGATAGTTGGCTCATGGTCATTTCATCCTCTTGAAAACAATATCTTGTGTGCTGACCACCACATGCTGAACAGAATACTTATCAACATACTATCGTTTTCAGAAGCAATCAAAGCAAAACTGTCCTGGGACAAAATGGCTCAAAGCTAAATTTGGGCTTTTTGTTTTCAAGGAGACAGTACTCACATTTTAATTTCTGATGTTTGGCCCAAAAGAAATTAAAACTGTTGATTTCATTTGTGCGCTTGTTTTAGCAATATGTATTGTCATAATGCTTTTAACTTTGAAAATATTACCTTCGGGTCCTCTGAAAAGGCCCTCTTCCTTTGGCTGCGTCTGGTGTGACTGGAGTGTAGGTGGTAGAACCCTCTGGCCCGGGGGCTGGAGGGGATTAGTGTGGCTGGATGGATGTCAGTTTAAAGATTATGTCTGATCCAAATAACCGATGAAATTGCTGTATCTGTCTATAAAAGTAAGGGGACTCACAGGAGAAAGTGTGGTCCCCTATTAAAGAGAAATTGTTTGAATCAATTTGATGGCAGTCGGTTACATTGTAAAAGGATTACTCTACATGGCTTGTAACTGACTAGAACTGTGATGTACAGATGATGTATTATTAAAATCTGAAGCAAGTAATGCAATGATATTAGGATACAATTTTTGTATTTTTATTCTTGTATAAGGTTATTTGATGGCTATTGTTTAGCCTCTAGTTCATTCTGTGTTATTTAAATTCTAATATATGAATCATATTTGGATTGAAGTCATGTTCAGGGGCCATGTTGTGTATGTATTGAGATGTAAAGCCTTTGAATGTGAATAATTATTGTAAACTATAATATTTTACAGCTTTTTCTTACTATATCATACATTTTCTATTTGCTCAGTGATTTAATCATTCTGATAATTTAATGAGTCATTCAGATTATTTGTGCGCTAGGTCAATAGATGTTGAATGATGACATTTTCCACTTACTGCTTGGTAGTTCAATAATTAAAGCATGTAGGGGTTTAGGCGTACAGATAAGCCATGTGTCCTGTCTTCTGTTAACAGCCAGTTAAGACACTGTAAACGCAGCATTTAGTGGCAATGGCATTTCATATTTTGCAGCATGTAAATAAAATAACGGCCCATTACCAGTGATTTGTGTTGTGAAATTACTTTTTAGAGAGCATCAAATGATAATACACTGTGTAGCCTAGCCATGGATTTCAGAATGATAGAAAATAAGGACCATTGCCATAGTAATTAACATACTCAATTTGATGAATGATGAAAAGGCTTCAGATGTTGTCTATAATGGGAAGCTGAACCCCATGAATAACTTCCTGAGTTTAAATGTAATAACTTAATTAATTTGTACACTTGGGATTTTATAAAATGATTAAGTCAGCAAAACCTTTCTTCCATGTACGTGACTTACCTTGTATTGTTCATGGTGTAACCTACATTGAGAACACTGACTTCATCTCAAGAGTCATTTAGTGCCCACTTTGCCCAGTGGGTCCCTGGTTGCGCGTAAATCTCACCAAGTTGGAGTCTTGTCCGTCTCTGGAATCATTTGTACCAACTGACTGTCTTTCATATAGCTGGTGTAGTGGTGGCAGTAGGAGTGGCCGAAGATCTGCTGCTTTGCATGAGTTGTGGTGGAGTCTAAGTTGGTGTCTGCAGCTCGAAAATTTCCTGTGCTCCGCTCTCAGACGGCACAGCGAGAGGCGGAGGAGACGCGCACAGGGAGATGGCCGAGAACAGCTCCGAAAGCAGCGGCTCTCTTCACCGCAGATGTTTGGCCCACTCCTCGTCGGAAAGAAACAGCACGGCCAGCCTCGGATCGTCTAAATGGATCCGGTTAAATGTCGGGGGCACATATTTTTTGACAACGAGACAAACGTTATGTCGAGACCCCAAGTCATTTCTCTACAGACTGAGCCAAGCTGACCCCGAGCTAGACTCCGATAAGGTAAATGCTAAGCTAGTGTAGCTAGTTAGCCTTGTAGTACTTTGGTTTATTTGAACATACATTTAAAAAAGTGGTAAGAGTTACCTGCATTGCATTCACACAGAACAAGGTAATCATAGACTTGTAATAGCATAAATAGTATGTTTTCCTATAAAACAAACCATAGAAAATGTATTAGTGCTATGTTGTCTTAGCTTTGTGCTAGCTAGATTCCGACAGTCACCACATGATATATGATCTTTCTGTAAGTTGTGAGCTCCTCTCATTTTCTGTATTTCCAGGAGGCTTATAATTTTTAGACATTTGAATTGACTGATTTGTATGTGTTAGTATATTAAAATAACATTCAGTTCTGTTCTTTGTTGGAGCTGAAAGATATCAGTTTGATTTCTGATTAGTGACAACTCGCCACATCTCATGGAAACTTTTCTACTGCAGAGCATTTTACTGTTTCGTTGCCCACTTATTAGTTCAGATATAGTGTCTATATTTCTTTCTCCTAACTGTTTACACTCATTGCGTATTACAAATCCACTACACTTTTATGAATATATATATATATATGTATATATATATATATATATATATATATCATTATTTTATTATTACTTGGTGTCTGTATTAAAGATATAAATAATGAACACCTTTTATAGAAAATTATTTTCTGTGGTTTAAGTCTTTGGCGTCTGGTTTGTTGGCGGTTATCATCCTGTTTAAGCCGCCGAAGCTTGTCATTGTTGAGTGAGGAGAGTGAGGTGTTGCTGATGTCTCTGAATGAAGTCACTCATCTCCCCTGAATGGCCTCATTTTTCCACAAGCTGCTTCCCTCTTTCCCCATCTGCAAGTGGAATACCAGCATGTATGTGCTTTAGGGGCCCGCGGACACCACCACAATACAATAGTGTGTGTGTGTGCTTTACTACTCCTTTATTGTTCTCCTCTACTAATGACACAATATAATAAATCTGCCCTCTTTATGCAGTAGCCATAACACATCTAATTTGTATGCAAATAGCTTAATCTCTAAATAATCATCTTGCTTTTTTGTCAGTCTATCCTCCTATGGGCATCCGATCAGCCCATCTCAATCCCTTGTTTTAAGTGCATTTAGTCTTCTAAAACTGTACTTCTCTTCTTTGACCTGTGAGATTGACATTATAGTGCAGTTGAAGCCATATAATGGGTTATCATAGGTTTCCTGAGTGATAGTTCATATCAGATCAGGGTGTTTTGGGCAAATGCGGCAGTGTATGACTCAGTCACGCAGCCTGATGTGCTTCAGCAGGATTCTTGAGGGGAGCTACATTATTCATGTTGTTGACTGGAGTCGGTTGTACACATTGGAAGAGACTGAGGAGAAAGTGGACTGTCACGTTTGACAGTATAAGGCCTCATTGGGTGTTTTTTTTTTTTTTTACAGTTTGACTCACATTTGACAAATGCCACTCATAGCTGTCATGCTGGTGGGATATTGTTGAGTGCACTGACACTGCTATGTGCAGACCAGGCCTGTGTATATTAGGCTCTAAAAGTGCTCACATGAGGTTTTTTTAGTACATTTCTGCCTCTGAACCTCTCCATTTCTAACCTCTCAAGTGAAGACCAGGCTTTCTGCATTTGAAAGCTACATACATTTTTTAAACACTCATGACATCTTATTCTTTTTATATTCATATCCATTTGCAGCCACACATCCTCTGTGGTGTGTAGCTGGATTCTGGTTGTGTGTCATGCCTGAGCACACTGGAAGGAAACGTAAATATTTAACGCTTGTACGTCTCTACTGTTTGGTTTCTCGCTCTAAGTGCTCAGCAGGACGCTGCAGGGAGCTGCTGCTGCTGCCGAGACAGGTGTGACTCTTGACTGATCCTATTGCCCTTATTAGCCCAATGATTCTTCGCACAGGAAGTACATTTGCTCAGTTAGCAGAAATAAAGTGAAAGAGAATGTAATGCTTTTAATCAGTAATATTTAACAACATTAACAATTTTTTTTTAATGAAAAACTATTAGTATTATCATACTGTGTCCCTTTAACATGGTGGTCACAGACATCTCTACTCAGCTCTAAAGGCTGCTAATGTAGCAAATGTCATGTAATGTACTCTCGTGTGTCTTTGGGATAATAATCTCAGTCAACATACAAGAAACGATATGAGTGGAAGTGAATTCTTGTGTTGTGTTCAGTCATTCACAGTGAATTATCTCCTACACTCTGTCTATTCAAGGGGACCGTTTTTATTTAAATAGAAAACAAAGAAGTTGTCTTAACTTACCTGACCTGTATGAATGGGTAACCTTGTGGGGTTGGTGGTTTGTCTGTATAAGCCTTATTTGACAACATCAACTCTAGGGTGGGTTGCTATGGTATTTCCTGCAGGAGGATATGTATTGTATGCAAGAGGAGAGTGATAAGGTTAATTTCCAACATTTCCTCATGTGAATCTCACTCTTCTAACTCACTATTGCTTAATTTGGTGGTACAGTATTGTGTGGGCTGCTGCTATATATATATATATATATATATATATATATATATATATATATATATATATATATATATATATATATATATCGCAAGTATTATATGCAGCACTACAGTTTTGTTTTGTTTTTTTCATGTCATGTTAGACAGTTTACATTACAACTTTGTTCTGATTGTATTATTCAAATGTATTTTTCTTTCTTTTTTTAATATATACAAATTAATTATTGTTAATATTATACAATTATTGTAGAATACAATGAAACCCACAAATAGGGCAGCGCTCAGAATAGTATTTGCCAAGTTGAAAGTATCTTGTCTATAGTGTAGCTGTCAGTTTAAATACAGCTGAATTCAACACTGTTACCCTTCCGTCTGCCTCACAGACCAAAGTTCATTGCTCTGTGAATCCCAACCTGGCCCCTGGGACCGCCTCTTGTTTATAATTAAAAAGTTCACTTTGCAAAACTGAATAGTTGTGCAAGTCATGTAAGCGGCATATTCAAGTTGAGGTTATTGTTATTGAAAATATAAAAGCCGAAGGTATCCCTTAATATCACAAATCCATATAATTTTGATTATTTTGCAGCTACCACCACTGCTTAACATAATGCATGATTTTTGTTTACAATAACGTATATTTGTACTTGTGACTTGAAATAATTTTTTGATTTGTTTGATTTCTGATGAGTAACATCACCACAGAAACTTTTCTCCGGCAGAGCACTACTATGTTTCATTGCCTTATCAGTACAGATTATCAGATGTTGTCCGTATAATTTTTTTTTCTCCTAACTGTTGACACTTAGGCACATATTTTTAATCTATAAACCTTAGAATGTCCTCATATTTCAGAAACCTGCAAGAAATGTGAATTTTAATATTTTACAAATTTGCTGCATGTCTCAAGGTCAGGCCATTACTAATTACTATGTGGTGTGGTTTGTGTGATTTGAACTATATTGGGTTTCAGCTGGAGAGAGTACAGAAATATATAGTGGATATAAATCCACTGGGCTCTATGTGAGAGATAATTTTAGTTGTCAAAAGGAGGGCGGCCAAATGAGTTTGGAGAGTCATCACAAAAGGAGAGCTCTGGGACCACTGCTCATCACTAGAGAGAATAATGTTGAGTTCATGTCTTAACACTAATGTTTGTCATGAAATGAAACAGTCTTGTTTTGAAACTATAGCATGAGTTTAGAGTTTTCTCTTGCGTGCATAATCAGATATCCTTTTGGTATCTTCAGTGGCTGCTGTTCTAAATCTTTTTTTCTGCTCTAATTGTTTAACACCCTCTCCCATAGAGACAATGGCAGTCTAATCAGAGCTTACAGAAATAGGGGAATACCCGGTGAGGGAGAGTCAGGATCAAATCCAGGTCCTTTGGGAGCGTAAAGTGATATATCAGTCTGTACGGAGAATCAGCGACTCATCCTTCAGCTCTTAGTTTTAAATGGACGGTTTATGCAGTGACTCATAGTTTAATACAAATCTTTTATTTTAATATGCAGGAAAAGGAAACAATATTTCTAAATCTCAACTTAAATTTTCTGGATGAAAGCCCTCCATCTAACTGTAGCAATTATTATGCTGAATTTTGATAGCTTTAGTATGATGAATAATAATAAAATAGATACTGGGTAAAATAAAACAGCCATATATTTTATTATTTGTATTATTCCTTTAATGTTGTTGTTAAGAACTGAAATCTTCCCCAAAATTACCTGGCATAGGATGTTGTTCTATTTGTCATTAACTTCTCCTTTGGCCCTTTTAGGATGAAACTGGTGCCTATCTCATCGACAGAGACCCCACATACTTTGGGCCGGTGTTGAACTACCTAAGGCACGGCAAACTGGTACTCAACAGGGACCTTGCAGAAGAGGGTAAGTTTTAAGTGGTCACAAATGATTATTTGTGTACATTTAAACATTTAATTCTACCAAAGATAAAAGTCCATTCGATGAGTCCCCCAAGGCAGTCTTCAGTATTGCTGTTGAAACAATAAAAATTGCAAAAATATTTGACGACCTGTATTTTGTGCATCACGTGTCATTTTTTGCAGGTGTTCTTGAAGAAGCTGAGTTCTACAACATCACATCATTAATAAAGCTAATAAAGGACAAGATCAGAGAACGTGACTGCAAAACGTCCCAGGTGAGTAAGCGCGGTGGACACTGTGTTCGTTAGTGTCTGTGGACATTTGGTTTGTGATCCTTCTGTAATCCACCTCAGGTCCCGGTGAAGCATGTGTACCGGGTGCTGCAGTGCCAGGAGGAGGAACTGACCCAGATGGTGTCCACCATGTCAGACGGCTGGAAGTTCGAGCAGGTAAAGCTTTAAGCCCCAGTAGTCTGTTAACGTGCCTCATCCACTCGGTTATGCTCACTTGTCCAATAGGACATTTCTGGACATTTCAGGGAAAATACCAAACAGCATTTCTCAGTGTCTGCATACGTGATCCGAGCATCCCCTCTGTGCTCTGATTGGTTGTTGCAGCTTGTCAGTATAGGGTACGGGCGAGCCCACCAGTCAGAGTTTCTGCTGATTGTGTCAAGGGAAGTGAAGGGAGAGGAGTCTGCTTTGCCAAACAACAGCGGAGAGGTGTGTCCCACAAACTCTGCATGGTCCCTGTGTTGTCCACGACTTCCCGATGGCTATTGTCTGTCCCGAGTAGACAGTGCGGCTGCTCATTCCTTAATTTATACTTTTGATTGTTTTTGCCTGCTCAGAGACGGGCAACACAATCATCATTTTCAGTCTGTTTTTCTTTTTCACTTTTTCATATTGTACATATGCTCACAGTTCACAAACATGTCAACTGTCAGTGTTCTTTAGGTGTGCGTGTGTGTGGGCGTGTGTGGGTGTGCGTGTGTGTGCGCGCGCGCGTGCGTGCTTTGCTTTGATGTAGCTGCTTCAACTGAAACGTCCCTAGTATAGGCTGCTGTTTGGATTCCAGTCAACATATAGATTAAATTCAGATGTTGTATATTTACTTTGATGGAGGTAGTTTGTCTGAATATATCATTGTATTGCAACAATCTAGGAATATCACTGTTTATTTACTTAGAATTAAGTTAATTTCAAACCAAGTATAGTATTGTCTTGTATATGAAATTCCAAAGACTGTTTTAGTCTTTTTTTCTTTTTTTTTTTCCTTTTTTGCTTCATCGGTGTGAGAGGGTTTTCTAACAACAACAAGTCTCAGGAGTGGCTAATGAGGCAAAGCATGTCTAGACATGCTCCTGGTACAGACAAGAGCTCTTGTTGCCCGCACTTCAACATGCAGTACAAATCAGCAGTAACTCTTACCTTTTCCTCTCTATATTTCTTTTTTTATTCCATATTTCCAGTCATATTTTAATGTCTATGCCTTTCTACACTAGCATATTTATATGTTAGTGAAAGGTTTGTGTTTTACTGCCCTCACTGATGTTGCTTTGGAACCACTGTAGATTCTTTCTTTTTGCATCATGGAACTGCTTGGTCATGAACAGGAACTGTTCTAAATCATATTTGGGAATCTAATTGATGACTATGTGATTACATGGCAATATAAAAGTGGTTCAGCATTAGTAGATGCATTGTTTGTACACTGATGTAGTTTGCCAAATACGTTTCAACCAGCATGTAGGCTTCCTTACATCTACTTCCTGGTCTTATAGACATCAGTGACTGTGTTTCCTGTCTGTGATGTCATTGGGTTATTTTTATTGTATTATTTTTATCACCTACTTTATTAAGGTGGACACAAATACCTAATTTATTATTTGGGCACATTAACCTTTTATTCAATACATTTTAGTTAGGTTTTATTTTTGCTAACCCCAATGGAAGTGTTGTATTAAAAAGCTATGGGATGTAAATTTCTTATCTGTCTGTTTTTGATGTGGCACTAATACATTTTCTGTGTTTGTTTCTCCATAGTTGGTCAGCATAGGCTCCTCGTACAACTATGGAAACGAAGACCAAGCAGAGTTCCTGTGTGTAGTTTCCAAAGAGCTGCACAATCAATCATACGGGACAAACAGTGAGCCCAGTGAGAAGGCGAAGGTAAGTGCACTGCCCACATGACGCTCTGTGCTAGAGGGCTAAAATGACCAAATGCATCTACAAAAACACACGTCTGGTTTATTGTTGAGAAACTTTCCCCTTAACAGTATGTGGTGAAAAT